CAACGACGGGTCAATATTTAGACGAAAGCTCGAAATAACACCTTAAGGCCAGGGCCTCCGTCAAAGAGAAGAGTTCGACCTCGATCGAACAACGACGGGTCAACATTTCGACGAGAATTCGAAATGATACCCCTAAGACCGAAAGCCATCGCCGAAGAAGACTGGGACTCGCGATAAGGTGGTACTTTGATATAATCTCGAAAATAAAATCCCTACGGCTAAGGCCGCTACTAGAAAAAGGATCCGATTTACCATTCAGACATTGATGATTAGCACCTCGACACAATGAAAGCACCGTCCCGTCGGCTAAACCCGTCATCAAGGTTCTACACAACCCGAGTGACCGTGAAGTCCCCGCGGGAGGTCAGCATGCAGAAATCTACTTTGCATCAAAATTACGGAGAGTAGAAACAGGAAAAGGAGTACAGAAGGAATGTAACAATGAAAAATCCTATTCATACAAAGCTACTGCGCAAACAGCCGCAAATTACCTACAGCTAAAACCAACGGAATCCAGAAAAGAAAATAAACTACAAAAAAAAAAAAAATAGAAACAAAGATAGCAATTCTTTCACTCGGCACCCATCCCCCGGAGATCCTCCCTCATCACCCGCACCCTCATTAGCTTCCGCGTGCAGAGTCATATCCAACAGTTAACACGAGCCTCCCGTGCCTTCATCCGTGTTCCTTTATATGCGGCCTCATTAACGTTGCCCGCCTCCCATAAACTCTTGTAGATATCCCGCTGGGCTTCAGCATGAACCCAAAGCTCGTGCAAATGACGAGGAACAGTGGCGGAGGAAGAATTCGACTTGAGCCAACAGTTGCTCCTTTTCGGCCTCAATAGCAGCGACCCGGTCCCCGAGGGTCGATGCTTCTCGGTCGATCTCACTGATGCGCTCCTCAAGCCTCGCTTCCAACAGCGTGGTCGTCGCCCTCTCCGATTCCTGCTCGGACTGGAGGACACGCATGGTGTTCTCTAAAGCCGCAGCCCTCGCCAAAGCCGATGACCAAGCACTCTCAATATTTTCCAAACCGATAACTTTTCTCTCCAACTCGGTCAACTTCCCCATCTACTCCGCACTCATCGCCTCGACCCTGACAAGGTTCTGATCCATCTCTGATTGCATAGACCTCAACTTCTCCTGAAGTATATTCGCACTCTGCAACAACCCCTTTGCCCAGCTCAAGCTCTTCGTCCTTTGCACGAAGTTCATCCTCGAGTACGCTACTCCTGCGGATAGCCTCCATCAGTTGCTGGTCCCTCTTCTCCAGCTCCTCACCGAGGGATCGAGCATCAGGGTTCGCCTTCAGCCGCTCGTGCATCTCACGGCACTTATCGCGATAGCGCCTATATTTCACCAGCATCGTCAGGAAAATCTTGGCCCGAGTATCAGGCCTGCGAGCACTCTCAATCTTCACCATATACGTCTGAAAAACGAAAAGACAGGCTAAGGCCAGGCCAACAAGAGAAACGAAAGGAACATAAAAGAAAAGTGAAACATACCCTCAAGCCCATAGCGGCCACTTCGTGCATCAAATCAATATCAGGAACGTTCCGAAGAGCCTCGCTCTCGGCGGCGGAGCACAAGAGGTCAAACTGCGGCACCGGGTCCTCCGTATCTCCCAGAAGGTTGATATCCGACGGAATCTCAAGAATACGGGATGACCCTCCCGCCTGAACCACCGAACGAGTAAGACCCTCCTCAAACATCCTAACATCATCAGGATCCAGATTAGACTCGGATTCGTAGTCGTCGACCACGATACCCTTTCCCCTTTCTGCGGCCGAGGAAGAAGCACGCCAGGATGAGGCCGAGCACGAGGACGAAGGTCCATCCAAAGCAGTAGCAGCGGCCTCAGAGATCTGATCCCCCGTCACGGCCGGTGGCCGGTTAATCACAACGGCGGGAATCTCTGTCGATGGGTCAGACACAACAGCTAGCACCCTCTCTATAGACGGAACGACATCAAGTCCCGCCTCAGATCCCGTCAAGGGAAGGTCTTCCTCTAATGTATCACGGCTGAAGGAGCCGTTTCGAAACTCCACTCGCCGCCCTCTTTTGATGGCCCCTCCCTTTCCTCGGCACGGATTATATCCCCTCACTGGGGACAGTGACAGGGGCTGAAAATCTCAGGTTAAGGGTGTAACCCCGTCGGTGTACGGCTGTAACCGCTAATTCGACTGAAGCGGCCTTCGACGAAGGCTGGTAGGAGATGCCGAGTCAGGACGACGGACGAGGCAGGTTGACGAAAAGCTAATGGAGACCTTGGTCTCCGCATCTTCCTGCATCGACAAACATCACATAAGAAACCAAGTAAAAAGGGAAGGAAGAGAATAGACGAACCACGACGATATACTCCACCCGTAAGCGGGCTTGCGTCCATATTTCTCAATAGAGGACGACCATGTACGGACACCGCCGTAAATGAGGGATCGGCGCTCGCCCACTCGCGGATT